CTCTTTCCCATTTTGTTGGGCCACAAACCGGATCTCATACCTAGGTGTTTATCTTACTCCCAGCTATTCGAGATTATTTGCAGTTAATTACCCACCATGAGTGTCACGCCTTTCTACTTTGTTAAAGATCTGGCATGGATACCCTATCTCATTTTTTAGGCAGAGTCACGGCAGTGAAGATGAATGTTTTGCCGAAACTACTATACTTGTTTCGAGCACTCCCAATCTTGGTCTTGAAAACATTTCTAGATCGTTTTCAATGTGTGATTAATAATTTTAATTGGCGCAACAAACATCCTAGTTTTACTTCATCAATCCTATACCAATCGCAATGGGCAGGAGGCCTCGTCTTCCCAATTTCTGGCTCTATTACCTGTCGGCCCACTTCGCACAACTATTGTAATAAGCGACTATTAACTCCCAAGTCCCTTGGATCAGATTTGAATCTCAATCTATACATCCATTCTATCTACCGGGTATATTATGGACAAAAATTCCCCCTCGCATGTTGTTGACCCATAATTCCATTGTTGCCCACTCATTGACGCTGTGGTCCCGTTATAAACTTAAATTAAATCTTGTCTCTTCTGTCTCACCGGGTTCATAATTTTTTGGAGACCCGAGTTTTATAATAGCATTCTCGTCTCCACAGGAGTTCCGTTGGTGGTATGATCATTCCTTTATCAGATTTTCAAAATCACTTCTGAGATGCTACGCACACTCTTTGATATCCCACTCCGGGAATACTATCGTTATCATCAGATAATAAATTTTTTCCATACACATTTTGAATTGACACCTTCGTCCCCGATTACATTTTTCAAACATATTAGCCATGACTCTCCTAGGGGCAGGGGTCTTATTTTAGACTTGTATCATCTTTTTTCGGTAACTATCTATTCCTCTCCCCCCCTTACATAGACAGAAATGAGAGGCGGATAGTGGTGTCACTTTTTTTGAAGAGGATTGGGACTTCATAGTGGAAAATATACGTAAGAGCTCTCTATCTCTTTCTGTTCGTGAGACGGCCCTCAAAGTATTAACCTGCTGGTATTATACCCCTTCTAGGCTGCATGTCATGTTTCCAGGAACATCCAACCTTTGTTTCCGGGGTTGTGGTCTAGCTGGTACCTTGGTGCATATATTTTGGGCCTGCCCAAGCCTTTCATTGGTATAGCGAAAAGTCTCTAAAGTGGCCTCTGCTGTGGCAGATGCCCCAGTGCATCTGTCTATGCAGTCTTGCCTACTGGGAATACAGACTGGGGCTATGAGGCTAATCCATACCATCTGTGTTTTTGCCCTATGGACCATTGCCTTGCATTGGAGATTGCCCACGGTACCATTGGCCTCAGTTTTACAAAGAGTCGATACAGTGATGCTCATGGAGAAAATTCATTATATGTTACTAGATAGGATGCAGATATTCAACAGAAAGTGGGAAGATTGGAAAACTCATAGACATTTACTATCTGAATAATGAATACTCATGATTTCATTGATAGTGTTTTTCTGTTGGTAGCTTTATTGCTCTGCCTACCCTCCTACCTATCTTGCTCATACACTTAATTTTTATGCCTTACACGATTGTACCCTTTTGGAATGTATATTACAGATGTGCCTTGTTTCTGTTTTATATTCTACTTGATGCTGTAATGTTGTTTTTGCAGCCTATTTCATAAAAAAAAAAATCGTTTGTAAACAAAAAAAATAAATCTTACTGAGAGGACGATAGTATTTGCAATGTGGCTTTACACCGTATTACAACAAATTAAAAGCCAAAAAAACCTGCTTGACCTTTTTAGAGTCACATCCAAACAAAATTAAATGTTAAACAAATCAATTAATTTGAGGCATTGGCCATTGGAGAAGACAGAATTGCCTGCATAGGGGGAGGGAGGCAAAATTTTATATGAATTTTGTGCAGATGATGTGCACAATATATAGTAGAAGGAAGAGCAAAAAATAAGTAAGGAATTGGAAGGAAGCCTGGAAGAAAAAGGAAGGGGACAGAAAGAGAGAGATGAAAAAAAGGGTGGGGTGGGGGGGTTGGGGGGAAAGGAGAGCAGGAGAAGAGGAGGAGAAGAGGGAGGAGCATGAGAGGGACAAACACCCCCCACCGGATGCCCAATACCCCCAGGAGAAGAAAAAAAGCCACTCACTTCACCAACCATGTGATCCAGACAAGTAACAAGTGGCCAGCAGGTCAGTACATATTCCATTGTAGAATCACCTCTTGTATTCCTCAGTAAATTTAAACTAGATCCAGCAGAACCATGTGGAAGTAAACTTGGTAAGACATTCTTGGGAAAGGTGGATAAGGTCCTCCATTTCCTATATTTTCTGGATTTTCCTATAAGTCCGGAGAACCAATCCCTAATTGCCAAATAGTGTGTAGAATGACAAAATACTGGGATGCATAATCCTGCCGCATTTTCCATGTGCATAGTCAATGACTTTTGATATGCTTTTATGGATAGGAATGTGTAGTGTAAGAGAATCAGTGCTGGGGTGAAATCTAAAGTATATGTGGTGACCTGAGAAATACAGTAGGTATAGAAAAGAGTCACTCCCCCCTTTAGCCAATTCCCACCCAGCCAATAGCAAAATGATGGCTGAACGGGACTCTCATCGATCCAGGTGGTCATCATATGACATCTTCCCAGATAGTTCCTTGCACGTGCCCACAAGCCACGCTGTAGCAAGATCTGTGTGCCAGCCAGTTGCCAGTACCATGTGACCCCATGTGACCAATCACAGCAGGTCACATGACTATTGTAAACAATGGATGGATTTTTTTCATGCCATGCATTGTATACAATTGTGTCACTAGCTGTGATTATTGCTGGTCACAGTAATTGTATGGTACAAACTGGACCAATCACAGACCATCTGTGGCCAATCACAGCTAATCATAACAAAAAAACCTGAATGAATTGATTTCCTTCAGCTAAATGCTTGCTTATTGCAATGAAATTATTTGCTATAATCAATCATAACATCATACCCACATGTGAAAAGGAAGGGGATCGCTCATGATGCAATATTCAAAAACATTTTATTATAAAATTTTATAATAAAAAGGTTTTGAAATATTGCACCATTAGCAATCCCTTCTTTTTCATATGTGGGTATGCTGACCATTCCGTTCTTGAGTTGGATTGTGAAACTGATGGTGGTATTGTGAGTGACACCATATTATCATGGGCTGACTGCCATTGGAATACAAGTGTTGATCCATCCATCTTCAAATGGGATTTTCCTAAAGCGCTATTAGACCTTGTATATGAGGTCTTGGCTTCTGGTAAGAGGCTTTTATTTCACCGGTCACATCGATGTGGATTGAAGTGAAAGAGTGTTTTCAATTTATTTGATGCACGGACTGAGTACTATTTGTTTATACAATTTGGTAGATGGACTATCTTCACAATTGATTTAAATGGACCTTTATAGTGCACATATTTAATTTGGTGTATTAGATTATTTCTTCATTGGGTTATATGCACTTTTTTGAATTTTTCCGATTTTTATTTAGACATTTTGTTTCATATGGCAATTTGTGTGTAATTTGGCAATACAACATATTTGATTGGTTTGCGGTTTTGTGTAAACACTTAGCACAGGATAATATTTTGTTTTATTGGCATTGGATTTCTGCTAGATATATCCTTTAGTTTTGAGGCCAGATAATTAAATTTTAGTCTCATCTGACCTTAACACATTTTTCCATGTGGCCTCAGAATCTTCAAGGTGAGCTATGGCAAAGCTCAGTCGTGATTGCATGTGGCCTTCTTGAGGAGGGGCCTTTTTCAAGCAGCCCTCCCATAAAAGCCACATTTGTGGAGAATTTGTGATATTGTTATCACATTCACACAATGACCACTCTTTGTCATAAATTCCTGCAATTTGGTAGCCTCTTTGACCAGTTTTCTCCTGGCTCTTTCATCCAGTTTGGAGTGATGTCCTGATCCAGGGAGGGCCTGTGTTGTACCAAATACCTTCCACTTCTTAATAATAGACTTTACTATGCTTCTAGGCATTGATACAGCCTTTATTTTTTTTTGATCCATCTTCTGACTTGGGCCCGTCCACAACTTTATCCCAGAGATCTTTTCATAGTGCCCTGCCATCCATAGTTGATTGTTTGCTTCTGTTGCACTCCCAGGGACTGAAATGCTCCAGGAAAGCTCTTTTCATGCTGAGCTAATCAAAATGACCACAGCTGATCATAGTTGAAAGTCAAATGGGTTTGTGTGCCATTGAAAAGGTGATTAGCTACACCTAATTGAGTTTACAATTCATTTTTGGAAAGGGGGTGATATTTTTTTCCAACTCAGTGATTTGTTTTTTTTATTCCAACATGTTGGTGTTATATTTTTCACCTGAATGTTATAAGTAAATACAGCTGAATAAAGCAAAAACTGTGTCAGTCTTCATGTCATGCTGCAAAGCAACAAAATGTGATTATATTAAAGGTGATTCTTTTCTATACCCACTGTAAGCTTGTGGGCCTCCTTCCAAAAGAGTTCAAGCTTTCCGTATGACCACCATATATGTAACATTGTACCTTCTCTTCGTTCCCATCTCCAGCATATGTTTGTTGTTTTGTATCATAGGGGATGAATGTTGATTTTTTTTCAGTATTCGGAAACATAGGTATCTGGCAATAAAGAATGCAATAATACCAGCAAGAGGAATAATAATAAGGATAAGGATCTCATCTAAGATGTAATTTGCACCTTACAGGAAAAGTAGCCCTGTTTTGGTTTGCTTGTTGGAAGAGTATTCCATTAATTATTAATTAAAATAAACAAATGTGAAATGATGACCACATATTAGTCAGATAATTGGATGTGTGGACTTTACTAAATAGAAAGTGATGCTTTCAGTGGAAAAGAAAAACTCAGTAATGATTGCTGAAGCAGTAAGGGGAAATCTGTAAATCTCAGAAGAAAAATCTTCAGAAGGTGACACATCTGGGAGCAGGGGCGGACTGACAACTCATGGGGCCCCCGGGCAATAGGGGATCATCGGGCCCCTGTGTCCTTGCCCACACTCAAAAAAGCCTATACAAAAGGTACCAGGGGCAATTCATGGGGTCCCCTACTGACCTCGGGCAGTGCCCGAGTGCTCGAATGGTCAGTCCGCCTCTGTCTGGGAGTGTCATTCTTGGTCTCCATTTCTCAGTGGTTTGACTTGCTTGCATTACTGTGTCCTGCAGTGATGCAGGGAATTGTGGGAGAAACCATAAAGTTTAGTGGGGTACCAGGAAATTACCATTAAGGCAATCTCTCATTATTAGTTAAATGAACTGTTTTGAGGGCAAGAGATTTGAGTGTTTAACTTTGCAAGGAAGCGTTTTAGTTTAAGCCTTTTTTTTTTCAAAAGAGTCACTTTACGTGAGGCAACAGGTGACAGTCTTCATTACTGTTCTGCACATGCTGGAAAATAAGCTGTTACTTCTATATTAAGAGTATAGAAAAAAACAAGTAGTATGCAAAATATTTATTGGACCGGTTGATGATTCATGGCTTATGATTACTAAGCTGCATAATAATGTTTAAAAAAATTAAGCTGGTTTATTGTAACTGCCTAATTAGGGGTGAATAATGGTTGAATGGTAAATTCATAGAGCTTTTAATATGCATATATGGAGTTTGCAATTTATTTTAGGTAACTTTTAGCACAATAAACAGAATTTTGTATTCCTTTTAAAACGGCTTTGTTTCTTTCAAATTGATTCAGGCATTGTAGGCTGTAAAACAACGGATCAATTATTTTGAAGCTGTCCTCCAGAATAATAACATAATACACAGGTAAAATACATGTAAGGGAGCTTTCGTGCCTGCCAAAAGATTTGTATTTCTGTCCTACTATCCAAGATTTATGCAACACTACCACACAGCCAACCAGGAAATCTGAATTCTATTTGATGTGGTTAAGCAACACAGTTATAGTAGGTTACCTCCTTGTTTTAAGCCTATGTTTTTTTTAACTTCTAGGTAGGTGCTAGGGTTAGATAGATACGATTAGTTGATAAATGATAAATGTAGTTGTCACTCTGTAGTCAGAGTGGCTGTAATTATTTGTTTGGTAAAAGCATAGTTGGCTTATTGTACTTGGTGATCTGTGATAATTTAGTTAGGTCTGCTCTGTTTGCCCAGCTCCTGTCAGTGTGCCTAAAGCTTCCTGAGAAATTTCTGGCTGATAGGTGTGGAGTTATGCAGATGACAGCCTCAGTTTATGATTTTGTAATCTGAGAAAAGCTGTGCATGCACCACATTTGGTTCTAAAAATGAAAAAGATACCCATCTTGCTGCTCATTGTGCTCATACTGCTCGTTCCACACCATGGGCAGGGTTTTCTTTTTAGATAAGTACCTATATGGATATTATGGGGTTTATTTACTAAAACAGAAGAGTGTAAAATCTGATGCAGCTCTGCATAGAAACCAGTCAGGTTTTATCACCAAAGCTTTCTTCAACAAGCTGAAATAAGAAGATGATTGGTTTACCATGCACAGCTGTACCAGATTCTGAGTGCAACAGTTTTAGTAAATTTTAGTAAATCTACCTCAATGTGTCAGTAATTGAGACGCCATATATTGCAAGCACTAGGGATGAGGTTAGAGTTCAATATGATCATGAGTTTGAGGTGAACCCTGCATGTTTGAGGTTCTTGGTGCAGGTCAACTAATGCAGAAATTTGTTGGGTAAATTCTCCATAACCATAATGCATGGCATGGCCTTTGGAAGAACATCTGGCTTAGAAGAGCCAATAATGGGGGGGGGAGGTTGTTATGTGCCAGCCCCCTCATTATAATAGGGTGGGTTTTAAGCACATAATGTGTGTTGGAGTTTAATGTTAATAGCAGTTAACCATCTGACTGTTGCTACAGCACCCCCTTACTTCAGACTCTTTCCAGGAGAACATTTCAAGTGATTTGGAGTAGCTTAGGGAAAGCTGAAAGTCTCGTGCAGGGAGCGTTAGTTGCTATACAATTCTTTTTAAGACTATGTTTTTGTGTGTGTGTGTGTGTGTGTGTGTGTCTAAACAGCAATGACTGTAGTTGCTTTTCAGCTGCTGGGCTTTCTTTTCAGTCTTTTTGGTTGATGTTGTGGTTTTTTTGGTTTTTACACACACACACTACAGTGTGTGTGTGTATATATATATATATATATATATATATATATATATATAGTGCTTTAAACTAAAGCTGTAGGTGCATTGACAATAAGTTGCGTCAGTCCAAAACTATATTTTAGGGCATGGCAGCCCACTTTTATTCAAATATATAGAATGTTCACATGTACATTAGTTGCCCACGCGTGGGTTTCTACCACACATTATGCACAAATTAAAATACCTAGCCACCTGGCTCACTTGTTGGCAGCACTGCTGCTTCTCTCACCAGTCCCTTTAATTGTGTTGTCCAGCTCTCCTGGAACACTTGGCTCTCTAGTCTTTAGTCGAAGCACCTGCTGCATGGTCTACCTCTGGCCTATGGAATGAGGTTCTCCTGACATCCCGATAGGAATTGACCTGCTTCCTGGAACTGAGACCCTTTGTCTCTTGGCTTCTGTCTGGGCCCTCTGACCCCTCAATGAGACCTCTGACTCGTGGCTTCTGGCAGGGGCCCCCTGACGTCAGGTGAGCCTTTCCATCTCCCACACTGGGAGTGGTCTACACACTGGAATTGTCTCCAAACTGGGAGCCCAGAGCTATCCTCAGTCCTGAATATATAATGACCCCGCACACACCTGTGTATTCACACAGATTGAAGGCACCTGGTAAATTCTGGCCACAGAGTCCAGATCTTCATATTAACCCTAAATGCAAATCCTGTGTCACATTTTCTTATATTTTCCTAGTGACAGAGCTTCAACCTGTCAAAAAAATATATCTATCTATCTATCTATCTATCTATCTATCTACAGTATAAAGGTTTGTCTCAATAAATTAGAATATCATCAAAAAGTTAATATATTTCAGTAATTCAATTCAAAAAGTGAAACTCGTATATTTATATCACCGAGTGATATACTTCAAGCATTTCTTTCTTTTAATTTTGATGATTATGGCTTACAGGTAGTGAAAACCCAAAATTCAGTATCTCAGAAAATGAGAATATTGTGAAAAACGTTCAGTATCGTAGACTCATGGGGGTTTATTTTACTAAAGCTGGAGAGTCCAAAATCAGACTCACTTCTGCATAGAAACCAATCAGCTTCCAGGTTTCATTGCCAAAGCTTCATTGAACAAGCTGAGGTTAGAAGCTGATTGGTTTCTATGCAGAAGGGAATCTGATTTTGGACTCTCCAGCTTTAGTAAATAAACCCCATGGTGTCCCACTCTAATCAGTTATTTAACTCAAAACACCTTTAAAAGTTTCCTGAGCCTTTAAATGGTCTCTCAGTCTGGTTCAGTAGGTTACACAATCATCATTCTCTTTTCAGATGAAAGTAAATTTTGCATTTCATTTCGAAATCAAGGTCCCAGAGTCTGGAGGAAAAGTGGAGAGGCACAGAATCCAAGTTGCATGAAGTCCAGTGTGAAGTTTCAACAGTCAGTGATGATTTGGGGAGCCGTGTCATCTCCTGGTGTTGGCCCACGGTGTTTTATCAAGTCTAAAGTCAGCGCAGCCGTCTACCAGGAATTTCTATAGCACTTCATGCTTCCCTCTGTTGACCAGCTTTATAGAGATGCTGATTTTATTTTGCAGCAGAACTTGCCACCTGCCCACACTGCCAAAAGTACCAATACCTGGTTTAATGATCATGGTATCACTGTGCTTGATTGGCCAGAAAACTCCCCTGACCTAATTCACATAGAGAATCTGTGCGGTATTGTCAAGAGGAAGATGAGAGACACCAGACCCAACAATGTAGATGAGCTGAAGGCCAATATCAAAGCAATCTGAGCTTCCATAACACCTCAGCAGTGCTAACATTTCTGTATTAAAAATCTTTTTTTTTTATTGGTCTTATGTAATATTCCACTTTTCTGAGATACTGAATTTTGGGTTTTTCCTAGCTGTAAGCCATAATCATCAAAATAAAAAGAAAGAAATGCTTGAAATATATCACTGTGTGTAATGAATCTACAGTTGTGGCCAAAATTATTCAACCCCCACTGAAATTGAGTGTTTTGGCCAGTTTGACATTGCTTTTGATCATTCAGTCATCTTGCTTACATTTACATTAAAGAGGCACTTGTAGGTCAGACAAATATAACATAACAGTTATAATGAAATAACCACAAATGTCTTTTCTGTGCTCACAGCATTATCAGTTTTATTCAACCCCCAAGTGACATTCAATCTTAGTACTTAGTACAGCATCCTTTTACAGTTATAACAGCTTTTAAAACGTGAAGCATAGCTTGACACAAGTGTCTTGCAGCGATCTACGGGTATCTTCGCCCATTCTTCATGGGCAAAGGCCTCCAGTTCAGTCACATTCTTAGGCTTGCGCACTGCAACTGCTTTCTTTAAGTCCCACCAGAGGTTCTCAATCGGATTTAAGTCTGGTGACTGCGATGGCCACTCCAAAATGTTCCAGCCTTTCCTCTGCAACCATGCTCTAGTGGACTTGGAGGTATGCTTGGGATCATTGTCCTGTTGAAAGGTCCAACGTCTCCCAAGCCTCAGGTGTGTGACGGACTGCATCACGTTTCCATCCAATATCTCCTGGTACTGAAGAGAATTCATGGTACCTTGCACACGCTGAAGCTTCCCTGTACCTGCAGAAGCAAAACAGCCCCAAAGCATGATTGACCCTCCACCATGCTTCACAGTAGGCAAGGTGTTCTTTTCATCATAGGCCTTGTTCTTCCTCCTCCAAACATAGCGTTGATCCATGGGCCCAAACAGTTCTAATTTTGTTTCATCAGTCCACAGAACACTATCCCACAACTTTTGTGGTTTGTCCACATGGCTTTTGGCATACTGCAGTCGACTCTTCTTATTCTTTGGAGACAGCAAGGGGGTACGCCTGGGAGTTCTGGCACGGAGGCCTTCATTACGCAGTGTGCGTCTTATTGTCTGGGCTGAAACTTCTGTACCCACATCTGACAAAT